ACAGTTGTAATACTTGTGGTAGCAGGCACAGTAGCGCATTGGTATCAGTAGTAGTAGTAGCAGCAACAGAGGCAGTAGTAGTAGCAGCAGCAGAGGTAGTAGTAGTGGTTGTAATAGTGGTGGTAGCTGTAGTAGTAGTAGCAGCAGCAGAGGCAGTAGTAGTAGTAGTAGCAATGGTGGTGGTAATAGTGGTGGTGGTGGTGGTAGTAGTAGTAGTAGTTGTAGTAGTAGTAGCAACAGCAACAGGAGAGCAAGCAGCAGAACTAGTGGTGGTACCAGTGGTGGTGGTAGTAGTAGCAGTAGCAGCTGCTAAGCAACAAAGCAGAGACAGACAGTAGCAGTAGCAGTAGCAGTAGTAGTAGTAGTAGCAGCAAGGTTAAGCAGCAGAGGCAGTAGTAATAGTAGTAGCAGCAGGCCTTGAATAGTGGTGTAGTAGTAGTAGTAATAATAGTAGTTGTAATAGTAGTAGTAGTAGTAGTAGTAGCAGCAGCAGAGGCAGTAGTAGTAGTGGCAGTGGTGGTGGTAATAGTGGTGAAGTAGTAGTAGTAGTAGTAGTAGTAGTAGTAGTAGTAGTAGTAGTAGTAGTAGTAGTAGTAGTAGTAGTAGTAGTAGTAGTAGTAGTAATAATAGTAGCAGCAGCAACAGCAGAGGCGGTAGTAGTGTTTTCATTTCTAATTGTTCCATGCCTTACAAGTTTGTTAGAATAGTCCATGTTGTCCTACTCCATGTACACAAGTCCAGAATGTTGATACCCTCGGAAATATCAAGAGCCTACGTCAGGGTCTCTGATTTGTGACAGCCAACGAAATCATGGTGCTATACCCTACATTCAGTACCTTCAAGGATTACATAACAATGTGTGACCATATGCCAAAAAATGATGAATTTACGACAAATGTTTCCCCACTATCATTTACTTTATACCGTATATAACTAACAACAACAATTATGCTCTTACAATAATGTTTGTAAGTGCACATGTGATAAATTAGCACATTTTTGTCCCATATTGTTCTTTTTTATATCTTATTTTAACTCTCACAATGACATTGTTTGTTATATTAGGATAACTTTTGCTTTTATACTATGATGCATGCATATTCATATGTTAGTATATTTGAACTCTATCACACAGAAAAAGAATTATCAAGATCCAATAAGCCTGAAGAAACTAATTAACATTTCAATACCCCTACCCTTCCCCTAACAAGAGCAAATGTGAGTGAAGGGTGAGCCCAAGAACATTGAGTATGGAATCTGTGGAATCACTTTATTTAGACATTATACCATGCATTTACTGCAAATCTGCTAGATATCATTGCACAACTAAACAGGATGGAATCGTGATTATATGACTGTTATGTTGTGAATTCAAGATCTAAATGATGGAGCCTAAGATAAAACGACCTCGTACAGCTAGTGCTGGCAAATGGAGTGAATGTTATGCCATGGTTACTCACAAAATCCGGGAAAATTGGAAACATTTACACAAACATCGTGGAACACATTCTGTAGGAGTATATTGTTGGTGAAATTGAGTTACCCAAGGCTGTAAAGCATCACAACTGTTACGCTACATACACCTCAAGCAAGAGTATTGAACTCTCTGAACAAAAACACAGCAGATACAGAAACAAAGTGAAACATCAGAGTGTAGCTCAAGTTTTGTTTTGTGCCTGATGTGACAATAACACCATTGACACGATCCAGTGTTTCTCAATCAGATATATTGAAGTGTATCGTTTGCCAGAAGGACAAACGTCTGCGCGGAGACGCAAATTAGAAGCTGCCAGTCCAATGACTTTGTACTCAGCTGTTGAAACATTACGGCAAGCTGCGATAATTACAAATGATCAGAGGGTACTCATGCAGCTGTCAGGAGGTGCAAGAGGAGGAACTGATAGTATTGCTGGTGATGAAATTGTGCATAGATCATGTTGTAGTTCGTATACGAACAGTAAACGTCTTACCTTTGTCTAAGAAAACACATCACCAGACAATGCCTATGATGAGGCATTCAAACGTCTTTCAAATGAAATTCAAAAGGGGTTCATTGATGGATGAGAAGTTTGAAAGATGTCTGATGTTACAGATAGATTTATTGAAATTCTTCAAGATGTGGGCATCGATCAGCCAAATTACAGGTCAGAAAAACTGAAGACACGTATCATAAAGACATTTGGAAAGACGATTTCTTTCTGGCATCCAAAGTTTCGAAGTGAATCTGAGATGATGTTTTCTTATATCGTCCCAAAAGGCATGTATATTGAAGCAGGCCTCAAATGTCAGAGATTTGCGGGAGCAAGATATGGAAGATTGTGATGATGTTGGACTACATCTTGATGAGAAAGCTGAACAAGTGCGTCAGGTATGCTTAGTATCACTGATGGTTCACCATGAGGTACCAACAGTGAGAGACATGCCTTGTCAGGACATTTCAGAGGAGTCACTAAGCAGTGCGGTTCCTGTGATTCTATTCAATCTTTTGGCATGGATTTTTGTTGGAATCGTAGCTGATAAACACGAAACATTAAATTTGGAACATCGGTATAAAGTTCCGGAGACAGTAGAGAGGCAAATTCTTGCAATTGTACAAGACATAGTGTATTGTAGCCGTAAAGGTAGAATACGTGCTCCAAAGCATGTAACATTTGCTGCTTCAGTGCATCATCTAACAGGTAGTGTGGCACTAGTGTCTACATTAAACCGCTTCGGACATTGTATTTCAAAATCAAGGCTCCAAAGAAGTAGAAAGCGCCCTAGCAGAAATGCGCTCACAAAATCAAAGGGCTGCAGTGGTGCCGGCAAACATATCTTCAAATGTTCCAGTATGTTTAGTTTGGGATAACAATGACTTCCAGGAAGAGACTCCTTCTGGCAAGAACACAACTCGAAGAACGAGAACATGCACTACAACACAAGACGGCTCATGGTATGGTTCATGTCACGGCTTACTGCACCCTGACTTGACATGCCCGCACAAACAGAAATATCAACGAAATAATGATGTAAATCACATGATGTACTACTATGACAACTCATACATTTTTTTACCCTCATAAGGTGATGTGTTATACAGAATAGTTTCTTTACCTTTAACAGGAACTCTTTAATCCAGTTTTAGTGATTTAGTATAAAATGACATATGACTTTATCAATTATCACAACCTCAGTACACTGTTCACGAAATTCATGTTACTTGGAATTCGGGGATTATTTCTCACACGGATTACCAAAAATAACATGATTACCAACGGTTGTATATCTTTACTGTGAATTAACTACAGACTATAATAAAAGGTAAGTTTGACTCATCGATTTATACCCAAGAAATAGCAGTAAAATAATCCATGAAGAAATCACACTATATTACAAACTCCGTCACTAAGTCAGCTATCTCGACCATGTTCAGCTTTGACAATGTTTACTTACACTAGAGTAGAGAGAGATAAACCCCCAGCGTAACTGTTAGTAACCAGGTTATGTTGACTTCATGACACAGTTGATGGGCATGTCTGCTGATAACACCTCGGTCTCCTTAGAAGTCGCTACTATATAGTCTGACCAACGGACACTTTTAGAGGGTCCTCCAAACAAAAGGTAGCATCTGTTGTGTGTTGCAAGTACATTTCAGTAAGATTCATATCTAAGTTAGCATATGTAGTTTAAACATATTATATTGAGAAATGCAAGAAATGAGGATCGGTGAACAAGCAAGACGCTTATGCAAACACTTCTCCCGTACATCACAGAGAGAAGATAATATTATTGTGGTGACCTAATAAAATAATCATTTGAGTGTTGTTGGCAAGTGAAATCGATATAGCAGTAATGATGTCGTATGTCAATCAAAGTTATGGCAGTATATTGAAATGTATATGGCATTATTATGTAACTATGTTTCATATCAAGTTAGCATATGTAAGGGAACAGAGTATCATATACGTAATAATAAAACGGGCTTAGGTGTACATACAACTGATCCATATTGACAGTAGAATGAAATCAGGGCATGAAAACAAGAGGCTTTATATTTGGTCAAGAATTCACACGTTGTAAAACAGTTGACGATGGGGCGAAATCTAGGGAGGGTGCGGGGGCGCGCGCACACGCACGCGCACGTACATACACACACGCACGCGTACACACGCGCGCGCGCACACACACACACACACACACACACACCCATCCCCATCACCACCTTCTCCCCCGAGAAAAATGTCCCAGAGGAGTATTTCCCCCTAACCTGTGATATATGTGCAAGCCCGTTCTCCAAAATCCTGGATCCGCCCATATCATTAGTCTTTAAAATTCTGAAACTTATAAAGAGTTACTTCCCTTTTGTAAATTACAAAAATTGTTTTATTTAGCAGATAGACCGTTTTCAGCTAGCTACCTACAACATGATCGATTCCTTCGCCACCAATGATGAGTTAGTGGCTTGTCTGGTGTTGAATACAATGGACATGTGGCGTTACGAATGATGGATTTGTGTCAGGAAACTGAACAGGAAGACGAAGAAGACGACGAATCTCGTAATGACAAAGGACAAGGTTCTGCCTTTCATTTGGACAGAACTCAAATTTAGTGACATGTTTCACTATTGTTGTCATATTCAATTGTCTCACCAATGCCTATATAGCATGGTTTCCTGGACATGCTGAGCTGGTGCTTCACTGACCCGGCCAAGGACTGCACAATGGCTGCATGCCCAGAGACAGGCTGAGGCCATAACGAATATAGTATGACGAATGTGTATTATCCTGACAGTTGTGTTGCCCTGTGTGCCATCTATCAACAATTAAGTTGGTTTCATCTGAACAGTGCAGGCTGTCAAATAGAATCCAAACACGATGATAGCAGGAAGAGTACCAGTATGTTTTTATTTCAGGGATGAGCCCTTATCTATTGTCAAAAATTTGTGTCAATATTTACTACATGGACAAATGACTAAATGTAGGTTCTTTTATGCAACAATCAGCAATATGTGTATTATTTACCTTGTAAAATGTGAAGAACGTACAGACGGATGTTTCTGTCTTGCCAGGTAACAAGGAAGTAAATCCTACTTTCTGTATTGAGCTACAAGGGAAAGTAACAAGATCTGTATTGATTTAAATGAGTCACACACCCGCAGCCAAGTGACACAGTTAAAGCCTCAAGTCTGGTGACTATGTTTGATTACACAATATTTCTCTTCTGTTGGCTTGGATGGGCTGGTATCTTCATTGTACTCAAAGTCATTGTGAGAGATAACGATACATTTTTATTAAATGATTTTGTTATATGGTTATTCTATAGTGGTCATACATTCAATGTATTTTAATATATCAATTATTGAAATGAAATATCATTACAATCTCTTAAATCACACATATTTCAAAATGAAATCTTTTTACAGATTGTCATCAAGGCTTTTCAGAATCAGAAGTAATAGTGGATCACATTTTACCACAAGACAAAATGTGGCTATGTTGATCGAGGTACCCACCTGTGAAGGTGACCCTCACTGCTCCACTTAATGCACGACATTAGTCTAAATGTTAACTGTGACATAACGCCCTGTATGGTCAGATGTCTGTGGGACAGATATGTACCATAGTTACTATACACAAACGTGAGTGAATGAAGGTGGTTTCATGCAACAATCAGCATTATTTGTATTACTTACCTTGTAAATGGGAAGAACTCAGTGCAAATGTCTGTCCTGTCCAGGTAACAAGGAAGTAAATCCCAGTGTCTGTGTTGAGCTACAAGGGGAAGTAACTTGTGCAGCAACAAGATCTGTACAATCTTAGATAAGTCACACACCTCCAGCTAAGTGACGTTGTTCTCTTCTGTTGGCTTGGATTGGCTGGTATTTTCATTCTACTCAAAGTCATTGTCCCGGATGATGTTTTTTTCAATGATTTACCATAGACATTAGACATGAACATAAGTTCACAATAATGTGTAATGTCTCAGTCTGTAATAAATGTTAGAAACCCGTTTAATAGTTATTCATTAAATATGCATTAACATATCACCTATTGAAATCAAATATTATTGCAATCTTCTAACTCAACATATTCCCAAACACCATCTCTTCACAGGTTGCCATCAATCAGGTGTGTGACAAATGTGGCACACAATTTTATAAATGAAAAAGTCAAGTTACTGAGGAAGAGGTCAAATTACTGAGAGACAGGCAGATGACGTTTGACTGATACATGTCCACACCTGACTTATGACAAAGTCCCATCTATGCCAGTAGATCGTTATACCTTTTTAGCCACAAATTCCCTCAGTTTCTACTCAGATGTAACAGTAAAGCATAACGCCATGTATGGTCAATAGTCTAAGGGTTAGATATGTACCACATTTACTCGACGCAAACGTGAGTGAATGAAGGTGTTTCATGCAACAATCAGCGTTATTTGCGGAGTAAATACATAGGAGAGAGAGCACGCTCTATAACTACCAGGATAAAAGAACATAAGACCTTTGCAGAAAAATCTCACATGACATCTGCCCGGAACACCTCATCAAAAATCCCGACCACCGTATTTGCTGGTAACAAATCAGGATTCTACATACCAACATCAACCAATGGGGAAAAAGAGGAAACTTCAAGAGAGCATCAAGATCCAAAAGAAACAAACATTGTCACTAAGGTGACATAATCCCCCGCCGCAAATTATCAAATCAAACTTAAAAAGGAATCAAAGTGAAGGTCGTAATTTAAGATGAAGTTAAATGTCAACAAAAACATGACCAGTCAACCTCTCTTTATATCTTGCTCTGTTTTTCAAACGCACACATATTTTCAAGACTCACTTTGACCTTGACATAAATGTCATGTCAGTGTACGAAATATGCAAAAATAGTAATAAAGAAATTGCTTATTGAAAAAACATTCAAGGGAAGTCTGAAAGTCTATGAAGAAAATCCAGTGAACTGTTCTTGAGATATCTACCTGACAATCTTAACATGCAGTTTAACATGCTGAAATCTTCAAAGTGTCGCCGTGACCTTGACAGTTATGTGAAGGTCACCAAAATTGACTGGACCTTGCGCCTTCCCTAGATAAAGCTTGGTGTCAAATATGAAGAAAGTCCAGTAAATGGTTCTTGAGATATCTTGCTGACAATCTTAGCATGCAGGTTAACATGCCGAAATCGTCAAAGTGTCGCCGTGACCTTGAAAATTAAGTGAAGGTCGCCTTGTGCCTTCTCTAGATAAAGCTTGGTGTTGAATATGAAGACAATCTAGAGAACGGTTCTTGAGATATCTCGCTGACCTGCAAATGAAGGTCAAGGTCACCAAACCTGACTGGGACCTGTCTTATACTGTGATGAACCTAGGTACCAAATGTGAAAAGAATCTAGTCAACGATTCTTAAGATATTTCAATCCGTACGTACGTACGGACGGACGGACGGAGCCTAATACTATATCCCCCGCTTCGCGCTAAACGCGCGGCGGGATTTTATAATAAGCCAGCCATTAACCCAAGCATTTACCTTCCCAGTGTATACTCTATTGTGCTGTTATCATCGGCTTCGTCTTACATTGTTATACCGTTAATCTCATTAACTTCATCCTTACATTGTTATCCTTGTACATTAATCCTGTCTAATTGGCTACCTGTTTATATTGTGTCTTTGTACAGTCTCCCACCTTGCGTTGTGTAAGCTTGTTTTATCTATATATACTGGAGAAAATAAACTAGGGATCATTGAAATGTTTGAAAAATGCAACCATAAACTTCCCATAGAAACTGCGAGATGGCAAAATACTCCAAAAGAACAAAGATTTTGTAACATATGTGACTCAGATTTGATTGGAGATGAGTTTCACTATTAGTTTAAATGTAATTATTTTGCAGACATACGTAAATCTTTGTTAAAAGAACCTTATCGTTCCCGGCCAAATTTGTCAAAGTTCCGTCAACTTTTTTCAAGTAAAATATCTACCCTTAAAATGTATCCAAGTTCATTAAGATTGTTTGTAAACACTTTAAATGATGCATCATTTAGTCATCTTGTTGCAATACATAAGGGCTCAGGCTCTGCCTGGGAGCTTTAGGACCTCTCATGTACCAGTCTATATGCGGAGGCCAATGAACCTTCCATTGAACACGCCGCATTAAACTCTCATTGCAGTATATCACTAAATTACGTTCAAATGAGTCCAATCCAGCATACAGTGTTTTCAATGCTCTTTTTGAAAACTTGTTTCCTAAACTGCCAAGCCTGGTTCCACCACTTGGAATCAGGATCAAACCACTATATCTGCAGCTAAAATTGATCTCAACATCATTGCACCTTACCGACTTCTGTCCTCACCACCATGGCAAATGGTGAAACCACAGGTCGATCTTACTCTCACAAACCTCAAAAAGTCTGAAACAAATCCTTTGGTGTTCAACAGGAATACAACCAGTTACGTTCGAAGTTAACACCCATAGATCCATTTTCACAGGGATCCAAGGACGATGCCAAAGTTGCTAGCGGCTACAGTCCCGCCAAGACTCCTCTCCTCTAGGATCCCCACAACGTTCCATTTTCACCGCTGATCTGTATCATAAATTGTAACTGCGGTAACAACCATAAAGACGTGTAACCGGTCTATGAAACGTGACTAACAAATTGCCTGCCTTTAAATTTGATGCCCTGTGACTTGATTTTGCTTTTAAATGACTGTAAAGGCGTAATCAATATATGTCCTTTAACACAATGATGCCCTCCCTAAAACTCATTCCGAGTATGTACTTACAATGTTTACTAATGCAAACTTGTTCTCGTCACTATATGGCTGGAATAATGCCGATGTGACGTAAAGCCCAACTCAACTCACTCGTATGTACTCCTTTGTTATACTCATGTACCACCGATGGTGGATTATTTTGAGTAATAAACGTGTGATGATGGTAATTAAAAATAACATGACGTGAATTACCATATATAACGCTTGCTTGATAACGGTGTTAGTAGCTGCACCGTAACGTCGCTTATATTAATATTCAAGGAGTTGTATATCCGTAGACCTCTCCTCGTGGTTCATCACATCAACTTCTAAATGCCACTCAAAGGAGTTGATTGTGGTTCACTGTATGTTTGTTCACGAGTGGCACTTGCACGAACAAAATATGTTAAAATTTGATTTGTGGTGTGACACTGACAATAAGTTGTGAGGCAGCGCCACGGTATGGATAAAAAGTGCGGATAATTAACGTAATTTTAGTAAAGGCATGCCACCACAAAGACGCTACAACAAACGCAACGCAATGTTGCTATGTACAGCGTTTCCAGAGCGTAATCTCCAGACTGTTGAGACGATTCCAGGCGACTGGTACAACTAATGACAGGCCTAGAAGTGGTAGACCACGTGCCACAACGCCAAGACCGTCACATCGTTAATTGGCTCGGAGACAGCGCTTCGAACCTGCTCCAAGACTGGCTAGACAGTTTAATGCTGCACCAGGCCTACACATAGCGCCCCAGACTTTAAGACACAGACACAAGCATGATGTCACCTGAGGGCTTACACGCCAGCTGTGCGTTCCAGACCTCTTCCACGTCATCGACAAAGGACGCTTGGAATTTGCACGTCAACATGTGGATTGGGATCGACGATGTTGGGAGTCAGTGCTTTTCAAAATGAGTAAAGGCCAATCGCAAACCGAAACATTAGAGTGTCTGGACTTCCATGATGGCTGGTAGGCGTTTGTGGAGGCCATGACAGCAATACAGACAGAATCTGGTAGCTGAGCACAATCGCGTTTTAGGGTTCTGGCTCTGTGATTGATATAATATCAAGTCCGTGGTGGGATCCTCTCGATTTTGCAGGCACGCTCGCGACCGCCTTCGTGGTGTACAAGTGGTTGGATATGTACATTAATATTTATGGACTGGTTATTGTACGGCTCGGAGTCAGTATACTGTGTCTGAGTGGGTGGATTTTGCGGGTGCTTCACTGCGTCATGGTATCTCAGTGGTTGGTCTAGGCACTCGGCATTTGTGGGTACAAAAGGACCAGCTTCAATCTGGGCTAGTACTCAGCTAGCTGCAATCGGGGGCTGTATACGCACGCATACACGCATGCACGTCGTCATATGAGCGAAATATTCTCAAGCACGACCGTAAACCCAATTTCACCTCACCTTACCTCACCTCACCTCATACGGGTCGCAATGACATGGTAGCCATACGACACTGAGCTCTAAATGCTACCCGACACAGGGATGAAATTCTGCTCCCAGTTATAAGGTTGTTTGCATGTGCAGTTGGACCAGACTTTATTCTGATGGACGATAACGCCCGTCCTCATCGTGCACGTATGGCTGAGGAAAACCTGCAAAGGGAAACTATCCAGCGAATGGTGTGGCTTGCCCTCTCACTGGACCTGATTCCAATCGAGCATGTGTGGGACCAGTTCCAGCACCGACTTTTACAGCTTCCTGCCCAACCACAGACGCTGGATGAGTTTGAGAACGCACTGAGACAGGAATGGAATACTCTACCACAATAGGTTTCAGACAACAATTTAGCACAGTTTGAGATATGTGGTTTTAGCCTGGAGGTTATTGTACATCTGTCAACATTTCAACTTGTATTTGGAGAATTTTCAAACTGGAACCTTTAAGAACAATCTGTTACAGTAAGATATGATTTAAAGAAAGGTTGACAGGTTGTAGCAATGCCTCTACAGTACGTGAGGGAAATAGTTGCAGAAACGACTTAAAGGTAGTGGAGATAGAGAGATAGGCAAGGGGATGTGTCCACTCAAATCAGGCATGTTATTTGTATGCTGTTTGTGACCCTGTTGTGGCTTGATGGGACGAGGACAGTGCCTCACACATGTTCACCAATTTCAGGATGCTGTCAAGTATGAGAATTGGTGTGAACTGTGTGGCTCAAGCATTATAGTGGAGTGAGCTAAAGGCAACCCAAGGCGACCTTTGGTAAGACAGCCATTGAGCTGGTTACCTGCCCCTGAATAGGTAGATACGGCGACGACATCGCGGGAGAAAACAATACGTTTTCTTTCTCTGTCAAGCCTTTGTAGTGCCTTTTTCTTGGGCACAATACGCTTAATGAAGAATGGGGATCGACGTGGACAGTTAGAGATGTAGAATTGGGTGTTTTAAGATGCCCAGGGGTCACAGACAAATTGAACATGTTAGCAAGTACATGTCGGAGACAACATGGACTCCAGGTATGGATCTCGCCTACAGGCTGTACGCAGTTGGTGTCACGTTAACTGTCATTATGCTAATGAGTCACAGTCTACTGATATACAATGTTAATCCCGAGGCCAAACTTGAAAAAAGTGAGAACTACTCCAGAAGAAATAATTTGATTTTATTTGGAATGGACATGGAAGGACGGCATGAAGAGTCTGGTGAATCTAAAAGGAAAGTTTATTCATTTCTGAAGGATACATTATGTCTACAAAATGGAGATGATATTCTTTTCGACACTGTCCACAGATTGGGTACAAAGCGTGAACAGGGGGGAACCCGCCTATCATGATGAAGTTCGTCTCCAGAGACGACAAACGTAGCGTCCTCAACAAGGCTAAGGCAGAGCTGAAAGGCAACACAACATTGAGAATATCTGAGGACTTCTCTCCAAAAACAAGACTCAGAAGTATCTGAAAAAACAACTCACACCCCACCTCAAACAAGCCAGGGACCAAGGCAAAACAGCATACATCAAAAGCGACTTTCTAGTTATAGTTGATGTTAAGTTCCTGCCGGATAGTTCTGGGGCTCTAGTCAAATTCGCCGGAGATATACAAGGACCACACTCGCTAAGTCATGCTGACCCAAACCACAGTGTTCTGTAGCAGGTTGGCCTTGACCCTGTGACTGATATCGACATTGACATTGACACCCGATCAGAAAGCTCGTGCTCCACGGGTATTCCGGATGCATCACATTCTCTACAACCAATAAGCCTATTGTATTGGAATGTAAACGGCCTATATAGTAAAGTAATCCATCCAGACTTTTGTGACTTTATCTCTAAATATGATATCATATGTTTGACCGAAACCTGGGCCAAAAGTTATGATGACTTTAGTAACTAAATTGCCTGTTATACAGGATTTCAATCAGTTCGCCCTAAGATAAACAACATCGGCCGGTTCAGCGGTGGCGTTGGTATACTTATGGGTGACAGTATTTCATCTTTTTTCCACCGTATACACGAGGAGTGGGTGGACGCCGTGTTTCTTGTTTCCATTCGGCGTATACGGTCAGGCAAAAGGCTTATTCTGGGTTGTGTCTATATAACACCGGAAAAAACTAACAGTAACGATGGGGTTGAGCGATTGGAAAGTTACATTGTGGCAATGAAAAACGAATATCCAGATACTGACTTCATTATTTGTGGCGATTTTAATGGCAGAACTGGCTCTGAATTAGACTATATTGTTGATGATAGTTTTGATTTTCTACCTATGGACGAGGATACATACGAGGAACTAGATGCCCCACCTGTGTACCCAAATCGTAAAAATAAAGATCTTGTTGTAAATAACTATGGAAGAGAATTACTAGACTTATGCAAAACTTTTGGATGGTACCTGTTAAATGGCAGATTCTCAGATGAGGGGGACTATACATATATTGGTCCTACCGGCTGTAGCACACCGGACTACATTGCAGTGTCAGCATCGTTATACCGTTATGTGGGGGACTTCAAGAGTGTTTCTCGGACGGAGTCTGACCATCTCCCACTCACAACCACAATCTCATCCCTGTTCGATGAGGACAGGCCAGCCGATGATAAGTATTTTCATTGTAGTAACATAAATAAATTTAAATGGAAAAATGAAAAATCACAATTATATCTTGATAACCTGCAAAATGCTGATACAAGTGATTTGTTTCAGGACTTCATAAGCAGTCTACATGTCAACACTGACAAAGCATTAAATATACTGCAGCTCATTCTGCAAACCTGTGGGCGAGATATGGAATGTAGACAACCCAAAACCATCAACGCTAAACAACAACCAGAATGGTTTGATCAACAGTGTCAGACTCTTAAACATGAAAAGTATAAACTGCTTAATGTGTTTAGAAAAACAACAACATTTGAGAATCTGAATAGATACAAAGACATTAGATCTCAGTTCAAACAGACTTGTAAAACTAAGAAAGATAGTTATAAACGTTCCATTACTCAAAACATACATGATGCAGCTTGTTCCAGAGACTGCTCAGCATTTTGGCGAAATATACCACAACTCGTGCCATGGAAGAAAGAGTAACGCCATCAACATGGGCTGAATACTTTAAGGACTTGTTAAACCCAACGTTGCCAATAGATGGCAACTTTTCAGAAGATGCCAAATCATATGTTGATAAACATGACTTTAATACATGTGTTGATTGTATCAATGACGATGATATTCTATCATGTGGCTTTACAGATCAGGATGTAATAAATCAGATATCTAAAATGTAACAAATCCCCAGGCGATGATGGTATTCCCGCAGAGTTTTTTTTAAATTTCTGAACATATAATAGTTCCCTATTTAGTATTACTGTTCAACAAGATACTCTCATCCGGCTTGTGGCCAAATTCCTGGTCAACTGGCATTATTATCCCACTACATAAGAAAGGTAGTAGATCTGACCCGAATAATTATAGGGGGATCGCTCTTCTGAATGTAATCAGCAAAAGTTTTGTTTCGGTTCTAAACAAAAGATTGGAGTACTTTTTGCAACTTCGTGAGATAATTGGAGAATATCAGGGTGGATTTTAGACAGATCATTCGACTGTGGACAGTATCTTTATTCTCCAGACAATCATTCAGAAGTATTTAACACGTAAAAATGGGAAGTTATATATTGCATTCATAGATTTTCGCAAGGCCTTTGACATGGTGAATAGGTTTAAATTACTGTGTGTTCTTTTGCAAAATGGGATCCATGGAAATTTTTTCAAGTTGATTAAAAATATGTATACTAATGTCAAGGCAACTGTAACCTATGAGTATGGTAAGAAATTAACTGAATATTTTGATAGCACCTGTGGGGTTCGGCAAGGCTGTGTCCTTAGTCCGGTATTATTTTCTTTATATATTAATGAGCTCGAATTGACCTTAGAAAATAAGTTGGATGACGGTATATTTATCTCCGAAAATATGTTGAATATTATTGCTCTGTTATTTGCAGATGATTTGGTTTTGATAGCTGATACTGTTGTTAGATTACAGCGCCGCCTTGACGCCCTACATATGTATTCCCATAAATGGGGCATGGATATTAATACGGATAAAAGTAAAATAATTGTTCTTAAAATGGGTGGACCCTTGTCCAAACACGAAAAATGGCTCTATAATGGCATTCGAATGGAAACTGTCAATATTTATAAATATCTAGGACTTATGATAACTCCCAAATTGATTTGGACTAGGGCATGTAAAACTTTATATGATCAAGCTAATAAGGCGCTGTGGCCGATCAAGTCATTTATAAGACGATATGATATGTCACTCTCAGAAGGATTTTATATTTTTGATAAAAAGATTGTACCAATTCTAACATATGGTGCTGAGATATGAGGTTTTAAAAAGAGAGAAAGTATTGAAATTGTCCATCGAAAATTTTGCAAATTTTTACTTCAGATTAGTTACAGATCATCTAATGCTGTTGCATATGGGGAATGTGGGAGGGCACCCTTAAGCAATGTGTGTTATGTCAAATGTATTAAATACTGGCTAAGATTATTGAGAATGCATCAAAGTAGATATCCATATCAATGTTATAATTTTTTATTATCTGTTGAATTCAGGAAACGTCCCACATGGGCTCGGCATGTCAGTGATTTGTTATTTTATCTTGGCTTTGGTACAGCTTGGATTTCACAAGATGTCGGTGATACAAAAATGTTTCTATATATGTTTACTGAAAGAATTAACAACTGCTCTATGCAAGAGTGGCATTTGTCCCTAGATGTTCCTTTGCTGTCCTTCTATAAGTCCCATAAATCTCTGTTGACCTGTGAAAAATATTTATCATTGAACATAAGTAATGAGTGCAAGCGTCTGTTCACATTATTTAGATCAGGGTGTAATGCACTAGGTATCAAATATGTTAGAAGAGGTACCGCCTCCTGCAATGATGATATTGTATTATGTAAACACTGTAAAAGTATTGAGGATGAAATCCATATTGTCTATATTTGTAAACGCTATGAGGATATGCGTCGGCGTTACATTCCGAAAACGGTCCATGGATATTATTATTCACTCCGCAGCACATGTACATCATCCGACAATAACATCATAAATAATTTTGTCAAGTTCTTAGAACATGTTTATTCTGCTCCTGTTAGCGTTGTTGTATGAAAATGGTAACCAAAATCACTATTGTACCACGTTGTACGATGGGTCGTATGGCCTTTAAACAAAATAAACCCTTCTTCTTCTTCTTCTTCATTCAACCGGGAGGTAGAGAAGCCGGTCCGTAGAATAGATTGGTCCACACCTCTTACATTTCTCTATCCTCTTTGTTGCTGGATTGTACTAGACAACAGCTTTGATCTTCCAATGTTTTGATACAGTTTATAATATCCATTCATTGTTATTATGTTGGAGATGGTTTGACAGTGGTTAAAGGTGTCAGACTTTGCTGTGGCGAGTTGTGTCCCTTGGGATCTGAGAATCATGGGTTTGTCCCCTTATCAACCCATAGCTGTGAATAGCTGCAACATTGCTCAACATTAAACAATATTCACTCACTGGCTGTGTTGACCCAGCAGGATTCCTGGTTACAATTTGTCCCAAGCATGTTCATTGGAAGAGGTGACTTAATGGATGCTCAAACTCCATTATCTTCTTGTTGGCGTGTCAGTGTACCCCAAGGTCACGGACCATGCTGATAATATCAGTCAGTGGATTGTCTGGTCCAGAATTAATTATTCCTTTGCCGTTGGCATATGTGTTAAACAACAAACACATTCCTCATGAAAACTTGTATCGTGCACGTCCTGGTGGTCTTGTGCATAGAGCCCAGGTCACAATTCAGTTAAAGTAAAGCAATGTTGGTCACAGAGAATTCTTGGATAGGTCACCATGCTTGGCATCTTGACTCCCGAGAGTTTTCAGGACTTCAGTCCTGCTCCACAACAATCCACATGTGACACAATTGTGGTGTCACGTTCGGCAAGTGAGTTTGTTTATAATTGCCTCTGCTCACCAAACGGAAAATGGGTACCCGGTGGTATAAGTGATGTGACTATTAACCTTCTAGCGCCTCACAGGCAGCTTGGGTTAACTGGGCTAATAATGTCCATTATGCTGTATGTGTTTAGAATATGCCCGTGCAGCGTGGAGTTTAGCGATATGTAAATGGCCTTATTATGTCTTTGGTAACTCAAATTATGCTGTGTTTGACATAAAAATGGCTCCATTTAATCAGATCAGTTTTAAATGATTCCTGAAAGTGATGGCATCTCTTTATCAATACATCAGTGAACATCCGGGATAGAATTGATCTTCAGTAACCCAGGCTTATCTCAAGAGGCGACTAACGGGATCGGGTGGTCAGGCTCGCTGACTTGGTTGACACATGTCATCGTGTCTGAATTGTGTAAATCGATGCTCATGATGTTGATCACTTGATTGTCACTCACTCACTTACTCTATCACTACAGTTGTTGTGTGCAACTATATTTCTGAGCTGTTGTGGGTGTTTAGTTAGCATGTGTCAGTTCAGCACATCCTCAGTTGTGTACAACTGCATATAGGTGAGCTACTGTACTCTGGTACTCAGGATTAACATACTATCTTCCTGCCAACTCTTTCTGTTTTTTGCAAAGAGAACATCGAAGAACATTGAAATGTTCTTATTCGACCAATGGTTTATGACATTAAAATCTGTAAACTGACTTGAAACAAAATTCGTTGTTCATTCCCTGATTTTTAAAATCAAAACGTTATTTCTTGCCAGGGATATGATGAGTGCTACCGCTGCCACCGTCCAGGACACTGGGCCCGAGATTGTCCTGATGACCGGTCCTTCGGACCACGGAGGTCAAGTAGAAGCAGTCGATACAGGTCACCATCACCAAGGAGGAGAAGGGGGAGGTAACTCCAGACATTGTCTGTTGTGTTATGTCATTGACAATGCAGTGATAGAGCCATGATATTCAAGTTGGAATATGCATAGTGTCTTATGTTTATTTATGGTTCGATGTAAACATAGTTTATGTAATACATGTAATAAATGCCACTGGAATGTGTTAAATTTAGAATGATTTATTCTAGTTTTGTTTTACTGAAGGATTAATGTTGGAATCTCATATTAAATATTTTTTGGTTATTTTATTATAAAAAATGAGTTGAAAAGCTTGAAAACAATTAAAATTAAAGGGCTGCTGGTAAAGAAAATGCAAATTCTCCAATTTCATATCTGCCAGTTAAATTTTATTGACATTTCTCTATGATAGCGGAATCACAAAATCCATCTGTGACAGGATTCATCTGTGACAGGATTGGGCTTGTGCGAGTGTCCTTGTTTTTGTGTTGGTATGCCATTGGGATGAGGCCCAAATATCCTCTTTGTGTAGAATATGCTGTGGTTGATATTTTGGGTTTTATACCAGTAGTGGTATGGCTGGAGTCTGAGTTGCTAGGACTCTGTTGTGTCACTTATCAGTGTTATGATACTACTGGTAGTGCTAAGAATCCCCTTTTAAGATGCAGGTAAGAATTAGTTTTCCACCAGATCTGAGTATTCAAGCTGTTAGAGGGTGAACTGACTCCAGTTTTTCTCCTTCCAGCTACCGATCCAGATCTAGATCCCGATCTCGAAGAAGTCGGAGTCGAGACAGGAGGAAGAGGAGTCGAAGTCGCAGCCGAAGCCGTGACAGACGCAGTAAACGTAGTCGCCGGAGCAGCAGAAGCAGAAGTCGTAGCAGGGACAAGAAGAGGAGAGCATCACGGAGTCGTTCTCGAAGCAGGTGAGGAATCTTCCTTTCTGTGTGTTCATCACAAGGACTCTGTATCATACTGGGGCAGTGGGGTAGCCTAGTGGTTAAGGGCTTCGCTCGTCATGCCGAAGACCCGGGTTCGATTCCCCACATGGGCACAATGTGTGATGCCCATTTCTGTTGTCCCCCGCCATGATATTGCTGGAATATTGCTAAAACGGCGTAAAACTAAACTCACTCACTCTGTATCAGACATCATGAGGCTTCTGAGTTAGAATGTGTCTCATGTCAGAGCTCAAAATAAGATTTAGCTCATGTGGGTACTGTACCCACTGTACTTTTGGGAGTGGGTATTATGAATGTTGAGTGGGTACTTCATTTTCCGTTACCCACTGCTTTCAAATATGTTTGTATTTCAGTCATTTTACTCACCTAAGTATGATGTCATTGAGTAAGTTTACTAAGCAAGTATGTTCTACCTTATGTCATACCTAATCAAAACCAACTTAAATATAATGGAAATGATTTCATTAAAAATCCCTCATCCTATACTGACAGTACAACACTAGTCCTATACTAACAGTACAACTTGATAGCAATCCATGTCCTTTTCCTTACGCAAGCGATTTTTATAAATATATTCCGTACGCATTTGTTTTAAACATTTTGCGTATCTAACATTTTAAATGCGTAATTGGTACGCAACAATTATTTTTCAATGCGTAATTGGACATTTTCTATGCGTATTATACCCGGATACGCAGCTTATCTGGGCCTCTGCTGTCATATAACCTGCTGGTTT